TTCAGGAAGTATTCATTTTAGGAGACTACAAATTTAGTTGATTGTTTTGGTAGCCATTTGTCTTTGAAAAGTAATATTGGCATGTAGCATTGTGTACAAGAAAAAGATGGGTGTGTTGTATATTTTGGGAATTTCATTTTTTACGTACAGTACTGATGATATTTTTTGGTAACTACATTTAACTTCATTCAGCTATACATTATCTAAATTTATTTCTCTGTAGAATGCCTCCCCCCTTTATTAATACATCTTTTACCTATCTAGGTCAAGTTTTATGTTTTTATAAAGCCTCATTTTCCTAATATTTGTGAATATTTTTACTGTCAGTTGAAAGGCTCTGATTACTTTCTGTAGGAGCTCTTTTTGTTGTTTATTGCTATAAGAGACCCTTATGTTTAGTGAAAAACTACTTTTCTCAAGTATCTATTGTTTTGTTGCTTTGCCTTCTGAAACTATACAGAAATGGGATAGATCTTTTGAAAATGGGAAAGGTACCAAGGGTGGGGGGATGAGGGAAGAAGAAAGGGAAATAAAAAGGTGTGTTATATACATGTACAATGTATATAACGTAGCTTCTCACAATGCATGTAATCATTATGTACTGAAGCATGTACCAATAAAAATTAAGACACTGTACAGAATAATTACTATCATTCTAATGTCTAAAGTTGATGAAATAATATCCTGTCCTCCCCAGCATATTGATGAAAAGCATATGCTTTGTGATCTTGGGCAAGTTAACTTTTCTGTGCCTGAATTTTCTTACCTGAAAAATGGGACTAATAGTTCTTTAGGGTATTAAATGAAATGATCCTTTTAGTCAGTTACATAATATGGTGGTTTAAGTACCCTGGAAGACAGATACTGAGATGGATTTAATGGTATAGGTAGTTTTTGTAGTACGGGGTGGGGGTGGAATGCCTGTGAAAGGAAAAGAAGAAGAAATAGAATTTTGATGTAAATCTGCAAAAAAAAATCTTGACCAACCTAACAGGGAACTCCTGTCTAATAGATAATTGCTTGTTAGAGAAGTACAGTATTAGGTGAAAATGGTCAGATTCTGTCACATTTGTGTTTACTCAGTGGCTAGGAGCTGCTCATGGCAAGTATGGTCTTGATAGGAAAACAGATGAATTTGGAACATGCTGTAGCTAGAACCTTCTAGCTAACTAGTGTCCTTGTACCTGGACGTCAGTTCAGTTTTAGAGGGAGATCCAAGTAAGTGTCACTGTCCATTTCTTGTGCTGTGCAGTCATGTTTCCAAACACTTTCTGAAAGCAGCTCATCTAGGAGGTCTGTGAATCTTTCTTCCTAATGAGTAATGCAGAAGGAGGTTATTGAAATAGTTGTCAGCCTTCTCCTGGTAGCTGGTCCCAGGGCTATAGTAGTTTTTGTTGTCTGCTTCCTCTGCTCTCCAGTCTAAGCTGCCCTTGCTCTCAGCTATCATTTCTGCTGGTTTTGACTATTCACCAGTGGTATGACCAAAACCCTTATTTCTGAGGCATCTGAGGCATCCCAGACTAGAGTGGTCGCATTTGTCCATGTACAATCACACTTGTCCAGGGAGCATCCAGTGTTGCCTTAGTGAATATTTGCTTATTCCTTTTTGTTCTTGTTGTGTAATGGCAGTCTTACTTCCTCCTGAGGATGAGTGTTATGTAACTCTGCAAAGATGGTGATTCCTTTTCTTGCTTCATAGTTCCTGGATTCAAGGTGTCCCAAATGTCCAGGCTGAAACTCTAATTTGTAGTTATTGTATCCTCTTGCTGGAAAAAAAAAAAAAAAAAAAAAAAAAAAGTGTGCCCACTTTGAATAGGAGACTTGTACCTCTTAAGTTCAGCACTGCAGGGGTGGGAAGCACAAAGTCCTCCAGTGGATGATTTTTTTTTTTTTCCCCCGGAACCAGGGATTGAACTCAGGCCCTTATGCTTGCCAGGGAAGCACTTATTCCACTGAGCTGTCTCCCCGGCCCCTCAGTGGATGATTTTGAGTAATGATATGTGGAGCATTTTTCTTTCCACTTCTGGTTTTTAGACTCTAGTTTTCAGAACCCTGGGAATGTAGCTTTCAT